GGAATGAATTTTGGTATATGTTTATACCTGTTAATTTTTGGGTTAAATTTTCAACCTTTTGGAAAAAAGTAAACTTGAAAGTTCCTAAAAGCCAGGGGGTTGCAAACTTGGGGTCCCCAACCCCATGGGGCCTTTGGCCCCTTGAGTGTGGCTCTTCCACAAAATACCGACTTCTGCGCATGGGCCACGAAGTTTCAGTCACACTGTACGTGCGCGCCCGCACATGGTATTTTGTGGAAGAGCCACACTCAAGGGGCCAAAGAGCCGCATGTGGCTCGTGAGCCGCAGTTTGCCGACCACTGCTATAGTCTGAAGGAAAATGTACATCCTTTTTTTCTAAGGAAAAGTTAATGTTCTTTAACAGTGATATTCTTATACAGTGGCACTGAGCTATGTTTATGGGACTATATCATTGATGGCGAACCTATGACATGCGTGTCAGAGGTGACACGCGAACTCATTTTTTTGGTTGATATTTCTTGTTAAATGGCATTTAAATATATAAAATAAATATCAAAAATATACATCTTTGTTTTACTATGGTTGCAAATATCAAAAAATTTCTATATGTGACACGGCACCAGAGTTAAGTTAGGGTTTTTCAAAATGCTGACACGCCGAGCTCAAAAGGTTCGCCATCACTGGACTATATTATCTTCAAAGATTAGGCATTCATCACCAGAATATCCCCAGCTTTCCTCAGTAAAACACTGTGGGTCTCTTATGAAATAAAGCTGTTTTTAAATCTGCTTACATTTTTATCTTATATTACCTCCAAAAGTAGTCCCTGTGCAGATGGATATTAAAAGGCCTTTTATAAAGTTTGAGAATCTGATTCTTAGAGTCCTACTGGCTTTCCATAGATGCTGATGCCCAGGTTTTTATTACTGTTAGAGCAGCACATTTCTTCAGGGAGTTGTTTGTAATGACTTTTAAATAAAACTTAATTGAGATAACGGTGAGAATCTTTTAAAAATAGTATTTAAAGTAAACTTGGTATAATTTTTACCTGTATCTATGCTTCTTAGACTGGGATACACATACCCATGGGAGTGTGTAGCAGTGTGCCGGATAGTATGTGAACTAAAGATTAAGTGAAAAGTTCCTTCTTGGATACTCAAACTTATTGGAAAATTTAGTAAAAAATTGTTTTAATTATGGATGATCCATGTATGAAGTAGAAAACAAAAATTCATTACATAGGAATTTTTAAAACATGTATAACATTTCAAAACATGTTATAGGTTCTTCTGTGGAAATATGTGAGGGACATGTTCTTAGTTTCACTGAGGTTTGCCTCTTACTTATTACATCTTTGAGGTAGTTGGCCCTTCATTTCCTGGAAGAGCTCAGAGCACTTCACGTGGAACATTCAGTATTGATTATAAAAATATTAAGGCTTATTTATTCCTATTGTCATTTTCTTTAAGTTCTTATTTTTCATTTCTATAAACCAATTTAGCAGTGAGAGACATTTTTAGTAATATTGATATTGGAACTTTTAGAAAATTTTTGACATTTTAAATTATATTTACAGATTGCCCCCATCACATTTATTTAATTTCTTACAGAATGTTTATAAGTTTGTAAAAATAAGTCTTTGATTTATATTAGTATATAAATCTTTGATGTGGTAGACTTATTTTAAGTGCTGAATATATGGGTATATGAAAATATTTTGAACTAATTTATAAAAAATAATTATATGTTATTCATAACTTTTGCTTTTGTAGAAGAATATCTGCAGTTGACTTTTGATAAATCGGTATTTAAAATTTCTGCAATTTTGCATCCAAGTACCTACTTGAATAAAATACTTCTTGGCAGTGAACAAGGAAGCCTGCAGTTGTGGAATGTGAAATCCAAGTGAGCACTTTATTTAGAATATAGTATGGGTGGCTCCTACCTTATCTATTCCTATCTAATGGGTACTTAAGTCTCTCAATTCTCTCTGCCTTTATATGTTTACTTGGAGGGCTTTCAATAAATGTACATATTTTTGGAATTGTTACTTATGGCATCACATACATGAAAGTTTGGCATGTGGTCATGGCACATGGTAGGCAACTTCATATATGCCCATTGAAAGTATATAATAATGGCCCTAGTCATTGTAAAAAAAAAAAAAAAAATCCATGTAACTATAGAGAAGGCTCTAGTAAAGTAACATAAGTCCAGAAAATAATTATAAAATTGTCACTGGGCAGCTTTTAGTTTTTGATAAACTAAGAAAGTAAAAGAAGGCAAAGCAAATCAGTATTAATTTAGTGGTAGCATTTAAGAGTGGTTTCAGGCCAAAAGTACTCTTATCATCCATCACAAACATGATAGACATCTACTATAATATTATTGGTATAGCTGGAGGGCTAGATAAATGATTTTGAGTACCTCTACCTATTATTTGAAGAATTATCCAGAGAAAACAGTGGCAGCTCAGGCTTCTTTCCATAGTATTTAAGAAGCAAACAAAAACATGACCTCAAGCTCTGGATGGGTAGCTTAGTTGTCACAATATGCCATGGTTGTGAGTTCGATCCCTGTCAGGGCACCTATAAGAATCAGCCAATGAATGCATAAGTGAAATAACAAATCGATCCCTCCCTCCCTCCCTCCCTCTCTCCTTCCTTTCCTCTCTCCCTTTCTCCCTCTCTCCCTCTCCCTCCCCCGCCTCTCTCTCCCTCTCTCCCTCTTTCCCTCTCTCCCCGCCTCCCCTCCACTCCCCTCCCCTTCCCCTCTTTCCCTTCTTTTATCTCTCTAAAATTAATAATGTGTGTGTGTGTTTATGACCATCTAAATTTTCCTTTTCAAAGCCCTTATCCATTCAAAAGAGAAAATAAGATAAAGTTTTTTTTGTAGTGTTTTTTTTAAAAATATGTTTTTATTGATTTCAGTGGAAGGAAGGGAGAGAGAGATAGAAACATCATTGATAAAAGAGAATCATAAATTGGCTACCTCCTGCATACCCCTTTCCGGGGATCTAGCCCAAACCCCAGGCATTACCCTGACCAGGAATTGAACCACAATCTCCTGGTTCATGGGTTGCTGCTCAACCACTGAGCAACACCAGCCAGGCAAGATTATCAAGGTTTTAATACTTATCTTAGTTTTTAGTTTTAAATCAGGTTTCTATTCAGTTTAACAAATATCATTGACTGTAGTAGGCTCAGGGATGACTGAGATATTATCTCTGCCTCTTGTGTATCTTATTAGGCTCTTTATGTGATGTTTACATTTTTTATTGTATGTTAAATATCTTTGGGAAAATCATTGAGTGTACTAAACACTGCCCGCTTACAGAATTTAATACATGATTTAGTACTTCATTGATTATAACTCTGTTTGCTCCATGGGCTTAGTTATTTATGGCTTGATTCTGAAATTTAGAGCAGCTTCACTATTGCCATATAACAGTTACATAACATATGAGTAGTATTGTAGTTATAACCCCTGTTGATAGGTTTCTAGAAAGATTGCAGTGAAAAATGAGATTTGCCTATATTCTAAGATTGTTTTCTATTATAGCCTCTAATATAAAGTAGTTTTTACTCATGTATTTTTTTTCTATTTAATTTTTAAAAGAGTTGAAATAGTATAGTAGTTATTAGCAGCTTGGGATTTGGAATTGATCTCTTTGGGCTCTGTCAGTTATTAGCTATGGGATCTTAATTATTTCACATACTTAAGTTTCTTGGTTTCTTTATCTGGAAAGTGGTATAAGTTTATCTTATGGGATTGTTTTGAGTATTAAATGAGTTAATATGTATTTTTAGAATAGTGTGGGGCAGAGTAAGAACCTAATAATTATAACTTGCTCTTTTAATTTTTAATGTGTAGTTGATTTTGTCTTCCTCCCAGAAAAATAGCTTTCAACTGTTTTTCTTCTTGTAGTAAACTTCTATATACATTTCCGGGATGGAAAGTTGGAGTGACGGCTCTTCAGCAGGTTAGTATTTTTTTTCAAAGAAGAAACGAATTTAGTAGTTGATTCTGTATCTTTCAGTTTCAGGGGTTGATTATATTTTTAGACCTAAACACAAAATAATATATAGACTAGTTTATCTTTATGAATATGCTCAAAATATTGTTTTGGAAATGTAATTGAAAACAGATAATAAAACCTTTGCCTATAAACTTTGTGGAAACTGTTTTGCCTGAAATTAGGTTCTTAACTAGTGGTTGCTGTGGAACTATGTTTACCAGTCATTCTGCAAGCATGTAGTCTAGTGCCTTGTACGTAATGGAGATGAGTTGTTCATTGTGGGTCACACAGACATTTGTCAGGTTGTTAAGATTTGTAGCTTGAAATAATTGGGGCCCAAATACTAATACTTTTTTTCTGGGCTCTTCCAGAAATAACTATTTGTTTTGAGTATAGACATGTCTGAATGAATGGAAGTATTTCTGCAGAGAATTTTATATGTATACTAGTAGCCATGCGCACGAACCCGTGTGCCAGTAGGTCGCTGCCGCCCTCCTGTAACTCTCCGCCCGCTGCCCCGCCCTCCTGTAGCTCTCTGCCTGCTGCCCTGCCCTCCTGTAGCTCTCCGCCCACTGCCCCGCCCTCCTGTAGCTCTCTGCCCGCTACCCCGCTCTCCTGTAGTTCTCCGCCTCCCGCTTGCTTGCTGCCCTGCCCTGTCCTGTCTCTCTCTGCCACCCTCTTATAGCCAGTAGGTCGCTGCCTCCCTCCTGTAGCTCCTCCCGCCCCTCTCCCCCCTACCCCCCTCATAGCTTGCTACCCTCCCCCTTCCTGTAGCTCTCTGCAGCCCACTTGTACCTCACTGGCCCACCCTCTTGCTGATCCGTGATTTGGTTGTGACGGGCTTGGTCGTTACCCCTCAGGGTGTAATGTGTAATTAGCATATTCCTCTCTTATTATATAGGACTAGAGGCCCGGTGCACGAAATTCGTGCACTGGGGATGGGTGGGGGGTCCCTTAGCCCAGCATGTGCCCTCTTGCAGTCCGGGACCCCTCCCTTGTTACTGCCCACCTGCTTGCTGCTTCCTACCGCGTTGGCTTGCTGCTCCTTAGTGCTGCCACGAAGGCCTTGGGTCTGCTGGGTGCCAGGCCTGTGGGTTTGTGTCTCTGATACCTCCAGGAACCCCAGCACCAAGGTGGCGGGCCTTGGGGCTGCTGGGTACAGGCCCCCCGTTGCATGTTTGTGTCTTCTATCAGGCCCCCAGCAGCCCCAGCACCACCTAAATAACTTAAGGGAAACTTTATTTAGTCTTCTTTTAAAAGCAATCTAGTTTAAAAATGAGTTGCGGTTAAGACAGAACAAAGAACATGGTACCTAAGAGTGAGATAGACTGACAGAGGAGAGGCTGGGCACTGGTCAGGGGCTTACATGCCAACTGTTCTCCACCTGGGAAATGATGTAATATCGGTTTCTTTAGTTTTCTGCTTAATGGTCTTCTCCAGCACTGAGGTCAGAGGAGCCGCCTTCCAGCCCGTAGGCTGCTTTCTCAGAGTCGAAAATTTCGCCATAGGCCTCTGCCTAGGACAGGACCTCTGCACCCCCAGGGTGCATAAACACACAGGGCTTCCATCAGGCTCCGCTGATCCCTGGGCCCGGGAGGCCTCTCGGCTCTGCTGATCCTGGGGCCCTGAGGCCTCTCGGCTCCGCTGATCCCGGGGCCGGGAGGCCTCTGGGCTCCGCTGATCCCGGGCCGGGAGGCCTCTGGGCTCCACTGATCCCGGGGCTGGGAGGCCTCTGGGCTCCGCTGATCCAGGCGACCGGGAGGCCTCTTGGCTCCACTGATCCCGGGGCTGGGAGGCCTCTGGGCTCCGCTGATCCAGGCGACCGGGAGGCCTCTTGGCTCCACTGATCCCGGGGCCGGGAGGCCTCTCTGCTCTGCTGATCCCGGGAGGCCTCTCTGCTCTGCGGCTTCAGGGCTGTTTGTCTTCGCTCCACCACTTGGAGCCTGAGTATGCAGATTAACCACCATCTTTTAGCTTCTATAATTGAAACATTGTATCTTTTGGAGCTGTTGCTTCAGGAGCTCAGAGCCCCGCAGCTGCAGGCGGGAACCTTGGTTTCCTCTATCGCTGGGGCAACCAAGCATACTGTTCTCAGCTGCCTGGCTGCCGGCCGCCATCTTGGCTGACAGTTAATTTGCATATACTCACTGATTAGCCAATGAAAAGGGTAGCGGTCGTACGCTAATTACCATGTTTCTCTTTTATTAGTGTAGATTGGACACAACATGCAGCCAATATACCCTCGTCTTTCTCAATATCTGTTGTTTATACCTGTCCAATTTATATGCATTTCTTAATTCTTTCTTACTATCAACCTTGCTCTGTTTTTGCCTACCCAGAAAACCACAAAGATATCAGATGATTGGGTCCCTTGAAGGCAAGGGATATACTTGTTTTAGTATCCACAGTATCTACACAGGGTCTTATGCATAATGGTCATATGATAGCAAATTAATAAAATGTTGATCTGGATTCCATTTTATAATGGTACTAGAGGCCCGGTGCACAAAATTTGTGCACTCGGGCGGGCGGGGGGGGCGGGGGGTGGCGCGGTCCCTCAGCCCGGCCTGTGCCCTCTTGCAGTCCGGGAGCTCTTGGGGGATGTCCGACTGATGGCTTGGGCCCCATCCCCCTGGGGAGCGGGCCTAAGTCATAAGTCAGACATCCTTAGCACTGCCTTGGAGACAGGAGAGGCTCCTGCCACTGCTGCTGTGCTCACCAGCCATGAGCCCAACTCAGGGCTTCTGGTTGAGCGGCGTGCCCTCTATAGGAGCATACTGGCGACCAGGGGGCAGCCTCTGCGTTGAGCATCTGCCTTCTGGTGGTCAGTGTGCGTCATAGCGACTGGTCATTCTACTGTTTGGTTGATTTGCATATTAGCCTTTTATTATATAGGATTGGGCATTGATCTTCTGTGCTAAAATAGAGAAACTTATTATAGAGCCTGTAATAAGATCATTATATAAAATGAAGATTATAATCGTAGGCTATTATAGCTGAAACAGACTAAGTATAAAACTTTTTGCCTTTTAACATGTTTTATAGGGTTTTCCTGTTTTCCTTGAGTAAACAACTCTTCACTTCCTTTGTCGTTGGCCTTTTATGTTGTCATGCATTGGCCATTTATGTTCCCGTGCATATAGCAAGCCTTTATGTTTTCTAAGAATTATCTTATTTTTCTGTTTACAACTAATCAATGATCTATAGTGATTTCAGACATGAACTTCTGTTTCTGTTATGGCTGTTTTCTTATCAAGTCAGCCATGTTTTGGGAAAGGGGAGGTGATGGTAACTACCAAATTTGAAGGTGAGAAATTACTTGGGGAGAAAATTATTCTTAAATACTTTTGTGCTAAAAAACATGATTTCTTTTGATAACATGTAAATAAGGAAGCATATAATCAGGATTATTAAAGCTGTTTGAAAATATTTTAAAAGTTGAATAATTTAATTTTTAGGCACCAGCTGTGGATGTTGTTGCTGTTGGTCTTATGTCGGGTCAGGTTATCATTCATAACATTAAGTTTGATGAAACATTAATGAAGTTTCGTCAAGACTGGGGACCTATTACTTCTATTTCATTTCGCACAGGTAACTTAATTATTGCTATGACTTAAGAACACTTAAAGTGCATTCATTACTCTGAAACTCACAGAAATTTTCTTAATTGATTTTTTTTATAATTTAACAGAAAAGAATGAAATACTAGAGTATAAAAGAGTCAAAGGAACATTGATAGATTCTTGGTGTATAGTCTTTTCTCACTTTATGGATTAAAAGGGTAGAAAGAAGAGTTGATTGATATTTTATGGTGCATGTTTTTGTTAATGTATTTTATTTTAATAACAGATGGTCATCCAATAATGGCAGCTGGAAGCCCATGTGGCCATATTGGACTCTGGGATCTTGAAGACAAAAAATTTATCAATCAAATGAGAAATGCACATTCTACAGCAATTGCCGGATTGACATTTCTCCACAGGGAGCCACTTCTTGTCACAAATGGCGCTGACAATGCTCTTAGGGTATTATGATTATTGTTGTCATCTTCCTGGCTCATCTGTCCTACTCTTCAGGTTATTACAAGTCTGCTTTAATATTTTAGCCTGAAACCTAGAAGGTGGAAGGAATGTGGAATAAGATACTGGTAGAGATGAAACAAAAACACAGCAGGTTACATTGATTGCTATGAAGTGAGAAAGCATTATAATTTATCGCTCCCCTAACCCTCCACTGCAGGGTCAGCAGCCTGGCCAGCACTACCCAGTGCCAGTTGATTTATGTCAAAGATGATTTGACTGCTTGCAGATAACTTACACTGTGGAAGAACCTTACCATTTTATTTCTTGGCAGGTATGGATATTTGATGGTCCCACCGGTGAAGGCCGGCTTTTGAGATTCAGAATGGGACATAGTGCTCCTCTTACCAAAATTAGATATTATGGACAAAATGGACAACAGATTCTTAGCGCAAGTGAGTTTCTGTGCATACTTGATTCCAGCAAGTATTGAGAACAGGGTGCTTAATCTTTATGAAGTTTGATATTTGCACATTTTAAAATTCAAATGTCTCTTTGATTTACTCGGAAATGTGGGGAAAGGGTAAAAGGAAGCGAAGAAGAATGAGTTAACTTTGAATATTCAGGAAACATTGTAGATGATAATTATCTTCATTTGGAATGTCATTCTGTTTACTAATTCTGAGAGAATGGTAATGTTTCACTCTATTCTTTGTTCTTAATAAGTGCACAATTGAATACTGTAATGAAGGATGTGTAAGATCTGTGAGTTAGATGGTCCATGGTTTTGATGAAGCTTGATTAGGCATTTTCTATATATGTCAACAGGTCAAGATGGAACTCTTCAGTCATTTTCCACAATACATGAAAAATTTAACAAGAGCTTGGGACATGGTAGGTCACTTGCAAGGTAGAAAAAAAACTGTTGGTCACAAAAGAAACGTTTCAAGATTCTGTGAGATGACAAGAAGAGGTTTTATTGATACATTTTCTTTTAATAAAATTAAAAAACCCTTGTATAAAGGGCAGTAGTAAGATTCCTAAGATCAGTGTTGCTATAGAAGTGGTTGAGGTGCTGCTGTAAGATTATTGAAGAGTTAGACATCTTTGGTGTAAAAACATATATGGCTGCTACCCAAAAGACCTTGATGGTCTAACTTGAGCCATCTGTAAAGAGTAGAATTTTAAAGATGGAAAGGAGCTTAGAGAAATCATCCAAGTATCCCATCTTTTTGTAAATAGGGCACATTTTGTTCTCTGTCCCTTACAAGGGTTCCCCAGCATTTGAAAGATTTCTTTTGCTAAACAAAAATGTTTCCCAGTTTTAGTCATAATTATTCTTCTTTGTAAGCTAATGTCCTGGCTCTTCATGCATGTATATACTTACAGATGAATTTCAGGATCATTAAAAAATCAATATCCAAAATAATTTATCTTAAATTGAAGAAATTTGATAGCCTTAAGAATCTTCACATCTAGCAATATGATATCTCCTCATTCAAGTCATCTTTTCATTTCCTGAGTGAATTTTTTTTTAGTTTTCCTCTTGTTGTCCTACATAGTTAAGATCACTCAGTGGTATTTTATATATCTTAATATGATTTTCTAATATTTATTATTTTGCTAACATGAATGGGATCTTTGTTGCAGTTAGAAATATAATGTAATACAAAAATATATAATATTCATATTATAATGATATTAAATATTGCTGCATTGTAGGGAACTTGCTGATCTTTTTTTTTTTTTTTTGTATTGGTTCAGTATCTGATCCATTGAAACTATTAGTACTTTTAATAATTATTTGGCTGTTTCTCTTAATTGACATGACTGTATCACCACCATTCACCTGCAAAAAAAGATATTTTTACCATCTTTTATAAATTATATATCATAGTTTAATTTTTCATGGCATTACTTAGCTAAACTTGACAAGCAATTTAATGATAGTGGTAATAACATTTTTATATTGCTTCTGACTTAAATGAGAATATCTTGAACTTTATAGTTATGTGACAGTGAATAACTTTTATGTACATTTCATTAAGAAGGATTCAAAGCTATATTCCCCTTTCCCCCAACCCTAGGATTAATAAATAAAAAAAGAGTCAAACGTAAAGGACTTCAAAATACCCTGTCAGTGAGACTTCCGCCCATCACAAAGTTTGCAGCTGGTAAGTAACTTCTTACTGTGTTTTGAGAAGTTCTGCTTTGTCATTTATTTCCTACTGTACATTTCTTTATCTTTTTCTATTTTAATAGATGTTTTTGCAAATATTAATAAGCATCTGGAAGGTAACCCAAGTGCATGCTAATCTTGTGTGAAGACTGAAAAAGTTATTTATAATTTGAACTTGTTATCTATTAATTTCAGGCTTTGCTCATTTCTAAGAACTATTAATAAACAATATTTGATATTGTTTGTAGCCCTTTTTATTCTGTCATATGCCTAATATGAAATTCACTAGTATAAAAAGGCAAGAACTGAGGACACAGCGCTCTGACTAATTTAATAAAGATCTAAATACACTGAGATCTTACTATAAACTATCTCATTTGAGCAGTGCGTCATTCAAAGAAGTAATCTAAAGAAAAATGCATAGGTAATGGGATAATTGATTGAAAACTATCATAGAAAAACTATATGAGCACCATTTTTACTTCAAGGTTATTTTAACAACCTGATGACTGATATTTTTTATAAACTTTAATTTTGACCATCCTCCTTTCTGGTTTTTATCTTAGAACCGAGTGATGTTTCTAAAACATCTGAATCATGTCACTCATCTTAAAAATCTTTCACTGGCCCCTTATTACCTTTAGGGTGAATCTCCTTTCTTTACATGGCTTTCAAGACACTTGGCCATGTGGCCCCAGTTGCCTTGCCTCCTCTCACCCCTCAAGAAAATGCTTCACTTACTTGCTGTACTTAATTTTGTTCAGGTTACTCTTGGACCTGTGTGTACCCTTCTACCTCATCCTCCTAGTTAATTTTTCCTTGTTTTACTGCTTCTTTCATGGAGCCATTTATTGTTCTTCCCAAATTTCTTAGCAAACTTCCTGAGTGCTCTTATAAGGCACAATCATACTTTACTGTAATTTCTGCTGATCAGAATCTCTTATTAGATTACAAACTCATAACTATCAGGAATTACATGTTTATAATTGTGTCTCTAATGTCTAATGATAACATGGAAGATTAGATGCTTAATAAATGATAGGTGAAGAAATGAGTGGGGGAATGAAAGCAATTGGTTTATGATTTTAATTATGTTTTAGAGGAAGCTCGTGAAAGTGACTGGGATGGTATTATTGCTTGCCATCAGGGTAAGCTATCTTGTTCAACCTGGAACTATCAAAGATCTACAATAGGCTCTTACTTTCTCAAGCCAAAAGAGCTGAAGAAAGATGACATTACTGCAACAGTAAGTGAGCTTGTTTTAAGAGCATTTCCCCCCATAAAACCATCTTGTAATCTTGTTATACTCAACTTCATTGATGATAATATTAGTTGAAAGGACATAAACATTTTCAAATTAGCCCCTAATAGTATTAAGTTTTCCAGCTTACAGAGAATTACTTTAGGTTTAAGTTAGGCTTTGCTTAATCAGATGTAGTATGTTGGTTACTTACATTTTGTTATTCATATAGGATTACTCAGAATACCCTTTGAAGATTATTTCAGCATTAATTAATATATATATACACACAAATATACGTTTTAATATGTTTTATTGATTTAAAGAGAGGAAGGGGGAGAGAGAGAGGGAGAGAGAAAGAGAAAAACATCAATGTGAGAGAAACATAGTTTGGTTTTCTCCCATATCTGCCCCATCAGGGATGGAACTAGTAGTGCACGGGATAAAGCTCCATCCAACTGAGCCACATCAGCCAGAGCTATTAATATATTTTTTCACCTGAATTATGTTGACTGTACAGTATTATATTCAATAAATATGAATCTGAAGGTTTCTTCCCCTCTTTATATCCATCCTTCCTTACTTCCTTGATTTCTTTCACTATATGAGTAGGATTTAGGTAAATCTTTAATGAGTAATAGGTGTAGAAGTTATTTAAATCCTTTATTGCTTGTTTTTCCGTGTATGTGTATTGTGATAAATGCCTTTTAGAGAAATTCTGATTGAGTACTGTCTAAGCATATTTAAATACAGGCTTTAAATTTAAATGCCAGTGTTTATTTGTAAGTTCTTACTCCTCTTTGAAATTTTATTTTTGTTTTTTGTTAATATGTGAATCTTCTGTTAGGTTGAGATTTAAGATATAGAGAAAGATGTCAAATTTGGTTTGCAGAAATATTGCCTCTGCTTTTTCTTAAACAGTTTTATTGAGATATAATTCACTCATTTAAAGTGTATAATTAATTCAGTGGTTTTAAGTATATTAATAGAATTGGAGCAGTCATCACAAAAATTTTATTAATCTAATTTTAGAACATTCCCATCACCTCAAAATGAAATCCTGTACTTATAAGCAACCATCCGTATTCTCTCACTTTTTCCCTCTCCCATCTCCCTAACCTAGACAATCACAAGTTACTTTTTATCCCTCTACTAGAGGCCTGATGCACGAAATTCGTGCAAGAGTAGGCCTTCCTTCTCCAGGCTGCTGGCAGCGGCTTCCCTCTGGCACCCAGGACCCAGGCTTCCCTCGCAGCCCCGGCTTCATCCAGAAGGTCATCTGGTCTAATTAGCATATTATGCCTTTATTATTATAGATATACTAGAAGCCCGGAGCACAGGGTCCCTCGGCCTCCCCTGAGGGCTCCAGGATTGCAAAAGGACGGTTCATGGGTGACACACCCCAGAATCAAACTTCCTCCTCTCTGGTTCTGGGTGCGTCACCCTAGAACCGCAGCTGCCACATTGAGCGTCTGCCCCCTGGTGGTCAGTGCACGCCATAGCTACCGGCCTATAAATAGCTTAGGTTTTCATCCTATCTGATAAAGAGGGAATATGCAAATTGACCATCACAACATCACAAAGATGGCGGCACCCAGTCCCCTTAGCCCTGCAGGAGTCCCCCAGTCCTTTCAGCCCCGTCAGGGGGGTGGGGCAGCAGGCGCATGGTGCGGCTGGACCCGCCCTCAGCTCCCCAGCTGCCCAGGGCCGGCCCAAGGCACAGGCAAGCCTCAGATGGCCTGGCTGAGGAACCCCCCACCAATGCATGAATTTTCATTCACCGGGCCTCTAGTATATATAGATTTGCCTATTCTGGCCATCTACACTAATAAAAGACAAACATGCAAATTGACTGTACCTTCGCTACGCCTTAAGCCACGCCCACCAGGCAGTCAGAGCGACTATATGCAAATTAACCCAACCAAGGTGGCGGCCGGCAGCCATGGAGCTGGAGCAAGCAGGAGGCTTGAATGCCCCAGTGATGGAGGAAGCCAAGCTTCCCGCCTGCCACGACCGGCTCTGAGGTCCACTCAAGGCAACAAAGTTTCAATTATAGAAGATAAATAAACCCCAGATACCTGCTTTCAGCCAGCCGTGGCCACGGAGCTGGAGTGTGCAGGAGGCTTGGGTTTCCCCTGGTGATGGGGGAAGCCAAGCTTCCCGCCAGCCTTGAGCTGGCTGTGGCCTCTGCTAAAGGCAACAAAGTTTCAATTATAGAAGGTAATAAATCCCAGAATAAAAAAAGAAAGAAAAAAAGGAGAGGCTGGGAGCTTCCATCGTCATCGGGGGGAGGGAGGGGGTTTGGCCAGCCTGAAAACAGCCATCAGTCCCTCACCCAGGCTGGCCAGGCACCCCAGTGGGGACCCCCACCCTGAAGGGGGTGTGACCAGCTGCAAACAGCCATCAGCCCCTCACCCAGGCTGGCCAGGCACACCAGTGGAAACCCCCACCCTGAAAGGGGTGTGACCAGCCTGCAAACACCCATCAGCCCCTCACCCAGGCTGGCCAGGCACTCCAGCGGGACCCCCACCTTGATCTGGGATACCCTTCAGGGCAAACCAGCCAGCTGCCACCCATGCACCAAGCCTCTATCCTATATAATAAAAGGGTAATATGCAAATTGACCCTAACAGCAGAACGACTGGGAATGACTGGTCACTATGACACACACTGACCACCAGGGGACAGATGCTCAATGCAGGAGCTGTCCCCTAATGGTCAGTGCGCTCCTACAGGGGGAGCTCTGCTCAGCCACAAGCCAGGCTGATGGCTGCCAGCACAGCAGTGGTGGTGGGAACCTCTCCCGCCTCCTCAGCAGCACTAAGGATGTCCAACTGCAGCTTAGGTCTGCTCCCTGCTGGCAAGTGGACATCCCCGAGGGCTGCCGGGCTGCCAGAGGGATGTCTGACTGCCAGCGTGGGCCTGATCCCCCAGGGAGTGGGTCTAAGCCAGCAGGTGGATATCCTCTGAGGGGTCACAGACTGCAAGAGGGCATAGGCTGGGCTGAGGGACCCCTCCCCCCCCCCCCGAGTGCACAAATTTTTGTGCACCCGGCCTCTAGTTTCATATAAAGGGAATCATACAATATATGATCTTTGTGATTGGCTTCTTTTACTTAGCATAATGTTTTCAAGGTGCATCCATGTTGTAGCTTGTATCAAAACTGTATACCTTTTATTGCTGGATAATACTCCATTTTGTGTATAAACCTCATTTTGGTTAGCTATTGGTCAATTAATTGATGGACATTTGTGTTGTTCCTACTTTTTGGCTATAAGTACTGCTTATGAAATTGGTGTACAGATTTTTTTTTTTTAAATATATTTTATTGATTTTTTACAGAGAGGAAGGGAGAGAGATAGAGAGTTAAAAACATCCATGAGAGAGAAACATCGACCAGCTGCCTCCTGCACATCTCCTACTGGGGATGTGCCCGCAACCCAGGTACATGCCCTTGACCGGAATCGAACCTGGGACCTTTCAGTCCGCAGGCCGACGCTCTATCCACTGAGCCAAACCGGTTCCGGCGGTGTACAGATTTTTATGTGGACATGTATTTTATTTCTCTGCATTTATATCTAAGAAAAGAATGATTAAGTCATAAGATAACTCTCTTTAACATTTTTGAGGAACTGTCAACCGGTTTTTCAAAAAAGCTGCATTTCTAACCAGCAATGTATAGAGGTTCCAATTTCTATACATCCTGGCCTTATTACTGTCTGTTCGTTTGATTATTGCCATCCTAGTGAGTATCTCATTGTGGTTTTAATTTGCATTTCCCCAATGACTTAATTATGGTGAACATTTTTCATGTGCTTATTGGCTGTTTGTGTATTTTCTTTGGAGAAATATTTATTAAATCTTTTGCCCATTGTTTAATGGAATTATTTATCTTTTTATTGTTGAGTTTTAATAGCTCTTTAGATAATCTGGGTACAAGTACCTTATCAGATACATGATTTGCATATATTTTCTCCCATCCTATGGGCCATCATTTTGTTTTCTTGCTGGTATCATTTTCTGCCTAAGATTTTTTAATTTTAGTGAAGTCTAACCTATTTTTTTTATACTTCTTGTGGTTTCAGAAATATCATTGCTTAACCCAAGGCCATGGAGATTTACCCCTGTGATTTCTTCTAAGAGTTTCATAGTTTTAGCTGTTACTTTTGATCTATAATCATTTCTGAGTTAATACTGATGTCTAGTTGTTCAGCATCATTTGTTCAGAGATTATTCTGTTACCATTGAATGATCTTGGCACCCTTGCCCAAAACCATTTGACATTATGTGAGGGTTTACTTCTGGACTCTCAGTTCTCTTTTATTGTTCTACTAGAGGCCCGGTGCACAAAAATTTGTGCACTTGGGGGTCCCTCAGCCTGGCCTGTGCCCTCTCGCAGTCTGGGACCCCTTGGGGGATGTCCATTTGCCAGTGGGGAGCAGGCCTATGCAGACGGACATCCTTAGCGCTGCTGAGGAGGCGGGAGAGGCTCTCACCACCACCGCTGTACTGGCAGCCGTCAGCCTGGCTTATGGCTGAGCAGAGCTCCCCCTGTGGGAAGCTCCTGCATTGAGCGTCTGCCCCCTGGTGGTCAGTGTGTGTCATAGTGACCAGTCATCTGCTGTTAGGGTCAATTTGCATATTACGCTCTTATTATATAGGATATGTCCATCTTTATGCCAGTACCAAACTGTCTTGATTATGGTACCTTTTACCTTCGTAGTAAGTTTTGAATCCAGGAAGATTGAATCTTCCAAGTTTATTCTCCTGCTCTCTTCCACCCCCCAAGATTGTTTTGGCTATTCTGGTCCCTTGCATTTCCATATGAGTTTTAGGATGAGCTTGTCAGTATCTGCAAAGGAAGCAGCTAGGATTTTGAAAATACTTATTAAAAATTTAACTCCACATTTGATCCTATTTTGTGCAAGTTTATTTGTAAGTATGTATGCTCTATTAACCATAGCACAAAAATCCAATCTTCAGATTTTATACTATTTTCTAAACAATAGAGATTCTGTCTTAAGTGTCTTAAGTTTACCTGCTCAGTTTTGAGTAGTGGTTGTGATAGTAGTGGTAATGATAATTACAGTTAATAAGTTTTTCTATGCTTGCTTTGTTCTAGTGTCTCTGCCTAGCACATATTATTGTATATTATTCTCACAACAATCCTATGATATGATCTTTTGTTAGTCTCTTTTTATTGACAATAAAACCGAGGCTTAATATAATGAGTAACATGCCTAAGGTCAGTAAAGCTAGTAAATGGAAGAGCTGGGATTTGAACCTAGGACTATTCAATTTAGAACCTGTGTTCTTAACTCACAGCCTATAATGATGACTCAGAGATCACTGAGTATATGAATATTAAGTGTATGTATATACTTAGTCATATGTTTGGCAAACTCAGCTACCTGGAACAAAATCAGTAACCAGTAAGTAATAAACAGAAGTATTTATTAGACAGCCCATGCACTAAAGTACAATTTGTTACTCAAAGGTAACCCTCTCAGTTTACTCATTGTGCTTTGTTTATGCTGTCTTTGATAAGAGATTAGCGTGAATAAATAAGAAAAGGAGATTACAGAAGCAGGCCCACTAACAACAGTAAATTTTATTAAAATGAATACAAGTTCACCCAGGCTGGTGTGGCTCAGTTGGTTGGACATCATCCTATGCACCAAAAGATGCCAGTTCCATTCCTGGTCAGGGCACATGCCTATGTTGTGGGCTCAGTTTCTCAGTAGGGAATGTGCAGGAGGCAGCTGATCTATATTTTGCCCTCCCATGGATGTTTCTCTGTTTTTCTCCCTCTCCTTTCCTCTCTCAGAATCAATTAAAAAGTAATTAAAATAAATAAATACAAATTATAAAAAGTATAGCAAGCACATTAGGGTCCTTTGCTACTTGTAGATTATAGTCTAGTATCTCCATTAGTTCCTGATATTATAACTACAACATTTATGAGTTTTTCAAAGTCGGTAAGATTATGTTTGTGTTCTGTTTAGAAAGAATGCTTTTTTTTAAGATTAGTTTGTAATATATATTTTTATGGAATAAGCCTTAATTATCTAGAAAAATAATGTAAGTGGGACATACCTATGTAAATGCTATGTAAGTATGTCTTGACTTGGGTCATAGTGTATCTGAGTCATAGCCTCTAATAAATTTTTTATTTTAGGTTTTAGAAGTTTATTTCTTTAGGCATAAATTTAGCAGTATTTTCAATTCTTCCTTGGGTGGGTAATACCTGACTGACACACAGTGGCAATCAGGGATTTCTCTGGTCACAACCCAATATAGAACCAGTCTCATGTTTTTAACATAGAAAAAAAGACACCTCATCAATATTTCTTCAAATAGGTTTTCAATATCTTGCTCTCTCTCATCTTCTGGAACCCCTATAATTCTGATGTTGGTACGCTTGAGGCTGTCCCAAAGGCTCCTTACACTATCTTCGTATTTTCGGATTCTTTTTTTTTCATTTTGCTTTTCCTGTTGGGTGTTTTTTGCTTCTTCGCATTTCAAATCTTTGACTTGATTCTTGCGCTCCTCTGGTCTGCTGTTGGGTGTCTGTATAATATTCTTTATTTCAGTCAGTGTATGCTTAATTTCTAGTTGGTTCTTTATCACAACATTGATTTTTTACAGAGAGGAAGGGAGAGAGATAGAGAGTTAGAAACATCGATGAGAGAGAAACATCGACCAGCTGCCTCCTGCACATCTCCCACTGGGGATGTGCCCGCAACCCAGGTACATGCCCTTGACCGGAATCGAACCCGGGACCCTTCAGTCTGCAGGCCGACGCTCTATCCACTGAGCCAAACCGGTTTCGGCAATTTTTAGTTGGTTCTTTATCACAACATCGAGGGTCTCATTAGATTTCTTGTAGATCTCATTGAGTTTATCGGCAGTTTCTAGAAAATTATTGAAAGACCTTAAAAGTGCGTTTTTAGCTCTATATCCTCCATTTCTGTCATGTTTCTTTGTCTCCGCATTTTTTATGCTTTCTTGGTGCACCCCCTTGTGGTCTTTGTGCACAGTCTTGTTGTAGTTAAGCCTTGATTGTTGTCGGTAATACTGGGGGTGATTTGGCTATGAGAGTCAGCTGTGTCTGCAGTGGGAGAGCTTCTGTGCTGGATCTCTAGGGCAGTGCTAATCTAGCGTTTGCCTAAGGCTATCCGGCAAATGCCTCTGTGCAGGGCTTGGGCGGGGCGGGTCCCCGAGGATCTACAGGGCGGGCAGGCGGAGTGAGCAGTTATGGCTGCTCTCAGTTCCGTCCCCCAGGGGCTCTGCCTCTCAGAGTCCCAGCAACCACTGCAAACCTGGGAGAGAAAGCTGCCTTCGAGTTCCGACCGAAGCCAGACAGTCCCGCTTCTCCCATTTGAGTCTGGGTCCCTAGAGACTCGCCCAGATCTGGAGCTCAGAGTCTGAGACTCCCTCCCGATTGAAACAGACAACCGCGCCCTCAGCCACCAGCCCACTCCGCATGCACTCCGCACCTTAGTATTTGACTTCAGCACTGCGCCTCCTCTGAGTCTCGGTGTGCTATTCTCTTTCCTCCTAGTTGTAGAACTTCCACTCAGCCAGCCTTCCTGTGGTTCTGGGTGATGTCCGTTCCGTCTTTTAGTTGTATTTTTGAAGTGGTTGTTCAAGGCAGCAAACTCCGGCTTTAACCTATGCCGCCATCTTGGTTTCTCTAAAACAACTAATGTTTTCTATGTAATGCCTTGTGTATTCTCTTGTATTCTCTTCCTAATATGTCATAATTAAAATATTTTGAGCTTTTTTATTGGACATTCTAATGGTAGTTTTTTAGTTTTGTATAGCTGTAGAAGCAATTAAAAAGTAAGGTAAGATAAAGACAAATTAAGGAATGGAATGCTTTGACTTTAGTACTGTGGTAAATAAATTAAAAATTGAAGGCCAGCTGATAACACAATTATTCTGACTTTGTAAATTTCAACTGAGTTTCCTCGGTTATGTCTTATGGTCTTGGATAATAATTTCTTCATACTTCTTAGAGAAAGAAGATAGAATCAAGCAGATATGTCTTAGATATCCAAATGTAGGAATGTTTAAGAAAATTAATGAACTAATTAATTTATCATGCCATGCTTTATTTTAAAAAAGAATAAGGTAATTAGTGGGTAAAAAAAACACTATGGAAGCTAAAGTACAATAAAAATGTTAGTTATTTGCTGTGTCACTTGTGTTTAATTTTTTTTTTCCTAAGGCAGTGGATATAACTTCTTGTGGAAACTTTGCTGTAATTGGTCTCTCATCAGGAACTGTAGATGTATATAACATGCAGTCTGGTATACATCGAGGAAGGTTTGGTGAGGATCAAGGTATTGCATGTTTTTCTTTTTCTTATTAAAAAAATAATAGATAGGTATGAGGCTAATAACTCATTGGCATGTATTAAATTCTTAACTGCCAGCCATTTTGCTACAGTTATGGATGGGCTATTGTCAACTCTATATGACAGATACTGCCATTACATCTTATAGCCACCATGTTGAAATACTCAGAGAATTAAGTCACAGATGTTAAAGGAAAGTAGATAATATACAAATTAAAATTTTTGTTTTCTTCTTGCTTTGAGCAGAAAATCTTAACTTTTTTTGAAATCTTTGTATATTAATCTGATTGACTTTATTTTTACTCAAGCAATATAATAATCTCCCTACTCCCTAAAATTCAGAGTAATATTAAAATTTAAGGGACGGTAAATAGTGGAACTTAGTTATTTAAATAAAGGAATCACTCTTTGTGCAGTATTCAGAGAGGCAATATCAATTCTTATTCTTTTTTCTTTTAACATATGCTTTAAAGCTCATAAAGGGTCTGTTAGAGGTGTTGCAGTGGATGGATTAAACCAGTTGACAATTACGACTGGTAGTGAAGGATTACTCAAGTTTTGGAACTTTAAAAACAAAATTTTAATCCATTCTGTGAGCCTTGATTCATCTCCAAATATGATGCTGCTACACAGAGACAGGTAAAATTTCTCTTTTAATGATAATGAATTTTCCTCTTGATGTTTTTGGTAAAAAATTCTTAATTTAAATAAAGTACATAATTTACCAAGTGGGGAAAAAATTCGATTTTTAATATAAAAAGAACAGCATTTTGCTTATACTCCAAAGGTACACTTGATTTAAAAAATTAAAATGCCTGTGAGATTTTAGTTCAAGTTTTTGTTTGTTTGTTTATTAAAACTGATGCATTTATCTTGCTAGTGGCATTCTGGGACTCGCCTTGGATGACTTCTCCATTAGTGTTCTGGACATAGAAACTAGAAAGACTGTCAGAGAGTTTTCTGGACACCAAGGCCAAATAAATGACATGGTAAAACAAACTAGATGTTTAAACAAAAGTTGACTCATTTCTGCTTTTATTTAGGTTAAAAAATGTTTCAAATAATTGAAACTGTTTTCCTTGAATAGCATTAAGCTACTCATCATACTAGTAGATTTTTTAAGGAAAATGCAGAATTAAAAGGAAGTTTAATATTTCTTAGGGAGTTAATGCCATCAGATTAAAATATATATATCGCAGAGTTTATCTTTTTCTCTTAGACTGTAAACAGGACCAAAATATACTTTAGACGTTGAATGATCTATGGAAACATAAGTATGTCATTTCTGACTTAATATTAAACTAGGCTGAAGGAACTTATTTCTCATTTTCTACATGCATAAAAAAATTAATACTAGGAGACTTGGAATATCTCGTACCTGGTGTGTGCTAGTTTTGTTTTATTTCTAGAGTTTGTATAGCTTAATTCCAAAAGAGTTTAACTGGTAATGTGATTTAGCTTACTATTATTATATTCTTACGGTGGGATGTATGGTACGATGATAAGCACTCTGGTTTAAAAGTTGTTGTAGAGGACCATATTAAGTTTATATTGTCATTTTTCATCAATTGCAGATTCCTTGATTTATTTGAAAAGAGAAAAAAATAAAATCCTAGCTACTGAATGCCAGTTCCAACAACTACTTTTACTTATTCATTCTCATACCAAAAATCAGAATTTGCAATGCTTACCCATTTACTTAAAAATAAGGAGAAATGGTGTTGATCTGTAGATTGGAGATTGGTAGAACTACCCATCAACAGAATTTGTTGTGACAGGATCTATAGAAATGAGGGTGGGAGTGGGGTAATTTATGATGAAATAGCATTTTTTAAAACATCTGTCAGTGCCAACAATCTTCCTGTTTTTTGTGTGTGTTTTTTTCCTTTTCACATTTTTCAACTTGTGTGTCTGGAGTTTCTACTACTCAGTATTAAATTACTCCTCTTAAATGTCTGAGATTTATTTATCAGATCATTTTCCCGTCCTTTAATAGCTTGTTCTATTCTGTAAATTGATCTCTCTGTACCTTAAGTTTTGAGTTTCCACAATATTACTGCAGCCCTGTGAACAAATTAGAGTTCACTTATCCAAATATCATGTGCCAATATGGATAGTCTTGATCCCTTTGATGTGCTTAGACTTCTGGATGAATACAATCTACTGCCATTATGAACCCTAAAGTTTTTCCTTTTGGGCCTTCTTCCACATCCTATGTGATTTAAGCCTCAAAACACTTGCTACAGGCAAGGAGAGAGCTATTATTATTTATTTTTAATGATAGAAAATCTATACCTTCTTTATAAGTAGTTTATAGTTTAAATTTATTTTGAAACTCTTATTGCAGATTTAAATTATATTTTGGAAATCAAACATGATTAGTGAAGAAGATTTTTAACTGAAACTACAAGTAAAAGTATAATGACTTTTTTAGTAACTTTAATATTTTAAGATAATATGCATTCAAAATTAGGTTTATTCTTAGAAAGCTAGTCTAATATATAGACTGTTTAAGAAAATGTAGTTTTTGTTGCTTTCACAGATATGTTGTAATCAAATTAGATAACAAAATATTTCTACTAGTAATTGAATGCTCTCAGAACAGCAGTTTTATATTAAAAATAATTTGTAGTTAAACACAGTTTGTTAATTGTCTATAAATATAGGAGATTTTGGAATAAAGATTTAATTTTTAGTGTTAATTTCAAAACTTTTTATATTTCCTATAAAAGCCTAATCCTTATCTATATCCAAATCAGTGGTATATAAGAAATGGTTTCTTTTATATAAAATAAGGTAGTCTAAATTTTACTCAAACTTAGTTTTTCATGTAGTCTGTATCTTTTAATTTATTGCATTCTTTAAGCTGTTAAAAATGCAGGCACAAACATTACAAACATACATATACATGTATACACACACACACACACACAGATTATGTATGTACTCTTATTTATTTTTTTTAACTTAAAGGCTTTCAGTCCTGATGGTCGTTGGTTAATAAGTGCTTCAATGGATTGCTCTATTAGAACTTGGGACCTTCCTTCTGGGTGGTGAGTTTATTTTTAAATCCTTAACCTCTATCAGAAAATTTCTCAATCATTATCTTTTACCTGTAATTAATGGATTATGTGCTTTTAAAAATATGACTCAAACTTTTATTTTGTATGTTTTTTTGTTCATATTGAATTTAGTTAAAAGGCCAAAAACCTTAACTTTCCTTGATGTATGTTATATATTCTCTGTCTCTAACATAATTCTTGAAGGAAGACATTTTAGATACCTTCAAGAATGAAACATGTGCATCTTAAGATTTGGGTAAAACTCAGTAGTGTTCAGAAATCTATCTCATAGACTTAACTTGCTACTAAAACATTTCTCAAAGAGAAAATATTATCCAATTCCGTTAATTAATTTGAACATTGGAGACTGAGAGAGAGAATGTGTGTGTGTGTGCTTTGTTGTTGTTAAAAATTATATAGGAGTAGCCCTGGCCTTTGTGGCTCGGTTGGTTGAGCATTATCCCATGCACCGAAGGGTCGCAGGTTTGATTCCAGGTCAGGGCACATACCCAGGTTTTGGGTTCAATTCCTGGTTGGGGTACATACAGGAGGCAACAGATCAATGTTTCTCTTTCTCACTTCCTTCCTCTCTCTAAAAAATCAATTAAAAAATACTCTTAAAAATTATATAGGAATAGATGCAATTTAAAATCATATTAACATAGAATTGCTTAGGAAGGAGTGATGGGAATGCAAAATATCTCATTTAACAGGAATATACCATAAGGAAAGACATTGGTAAGAAAGATGAGAAAGAAGATGGTACTTTTTAATCTTTGAAATATTTGTAAATTACTAAGCTCTGTCCAATTCTACTTTTTTTTTCCTGAGGAGTTGGATAAGCTCATACTTGAAAGCAGTTTGACCTTTAGAAAGGAAAAACCCTGATGTAATAATTTCCTTTCAAGTGTGATATAGGAATGAGACACAGCTATTTATCCAGCATAGGCACCCGATTTGGAATATGTGCAACAAAAGTGTGTTGCTAATTAGTCCAGCTCTAAAAACTAACATGTCCATACATGTTCCTGGGCTATATCCTCTGACTTCAAAAAGTTCACCTAAAGTTGGTATTTCCTTACTTTTTTTAAAAAAAAAGTCACCATTAGAAATATTGGTAGTCTAGGACTTTTGCTATTTTTCTAAAACTGAACATTGTAATTTGAATTGCTTTAATCACAGTAGGAAAGTTGTACAAGTAATAGAGTTGACATATGCCCTTGTCATTTTCCTTTTTAGTAGTTTTAGTTTACATTAGATGGGAGAGATAGGTTAATGTTCAGTAGCACTAAATTAACACAATATTTTTACAAAGCAGCAAATTTATCTTCAGAATGGAAAAAATAGGATCTAGATAGAAGCATTTAAATCTATCAGTCTTTGACTCAGCGTTAGTCTTTTTGCTAAATCTTTTATTTCAGTAAAAAGTTGAGCAGATTTAAATTTGATTAGTTTTCGATTCTGATATCTTTCGGTGAACACCGGCAATTTTAAATGAATACAAAGGCATGAAGATGGCAGAGACACACAAACAAGAAATGAGTCACACAGGGATTATTAAAAGAAAATGTAATTACGTCTACACTGATTGAACCAAAGTCTAATTTTAATAAAGACAAAAATAAGGACTACTTTGGCTAAGATTGGAAGTGGAGTAAATGAGGAAGCTTGAAAAACCATGTCACACAACTGCTGCTGTCTAATTGCAACTAAATTAGCATTTACCATTAGCTACTAAGCACTTTATATACTTTTATTTTTCACCTTCCCTCATATTCGAATGGGTGTAGGTACTATTACTATTATTAGTTCCATTTTACAAATGAGGAAATGGAGGCTCAAAGAGAAGCGACGTGATTTGCCCATGGTGGCATATTTCATGAATTACATTTTGCTGCAATAAGCATTGGAGGAAAAAACATTTCCCAACAGTTGTGCTTTCCACCTTGCTTGGGCTGTGTCATATGTTATTAAGAATGAACTGATTTTCTTGATGTAGAAGATAATGAGGAAGTGAGGATTAGTGTTTCATCATACACCCATATGTAATTATTGGGGTTTTTGATTCCCCTGTTTTTAAATCATAATTTGTATGACAATCTTTGGAGATTCCTAGTTCTTTCTTCAGTATGCAGCTTCGTCATTTACATCACATATTAAATATTTAAAGAATGAATATGCTCATTACATAGTCTGAAAAGTGAAACTATTTATGAGTAAACCTTTGGGTGTGGTAACATACAGGTGTAATCTACCTGGAGTTGTGCCTATCTAAAACAGTTGCATAGGCACTGAACTGTTTCCTGTAAAATTGTTTTAAAATAGAGAAAGTTTTCTTATTTTGTAGGATTCTCAGAGAAGCACAGTTGAAGTTTTTTGTTTTTTTAAATATATTTTATTGATTTTTTACAGAGAGGAAGGGAGAGAGATAGAGAGTTAGAAACATCGATGTGAGAGAAACATCAATCAGCTGCCTCCTGCACACCTCCTACTGGGGATGTGCCCGCAACCAAGATACATGTCCTTGATCAGAATCAAACCTGGGACCCTTCAGTCCGAAGGCCGACACTCTATCCATTGAGCCAATCCGGTTAGAGCCAGTTGAAATTTTTTGTCATTCCCTACCACTACCATCTTTATTTCTTTGTTTTCAATCTACTGGAAGTTCATATTGAACTCTTTTGGGGATGAGAAAAGTATAAAATAGCAATGTCTCCTATTGGGGATCAAGCCTGCAACCCGGACATGTTCTTTGACCAGGAATTGAACTGTGACCTCCTGGTTCATGGGTCAGTGCTCAACCACTGAACCACACCAGCTGTGCAGCTTTAATAGAATTTTACATTTTGTTCTGTCTCATTGCTGTTTTCTGAGGAGCATTACATGAGAATAATTGGAATAGAATATTATTTTGCATTTCTCACTGAGGCAAAACCATCCCTTTCTTCTACTCATTAAAGATTTTTGTGTAAGTTGATTCCATCACTTTGGAGATTGATCATCTACTGTCTGCATTTGTTCAGGATATAACCCAGGGGTGGGGAACATCTGGCCCATCGGCTGTATAAGGCCCTGGAAATCATTTGGTCTGGCCCTGGCAAGGCATTAGGAGTGAGTTAATTAAATGTTTGACCAAATATAGCAGGCTAATTTTTAAGTTGACAATATTGTTTGACCCACAAATGATGTTATAAATATCCAAATGGCCCTTGGCAGAAAATAGGTTCCCCACCCCTGATATAACCAGAAAGGACTTGGTATGCAAGGCTCTGTGCTTGAAAATCTGATTTCTTACAGTGAGGATTTTATTGATCTTCTCTCAAAAACTATGTACCTTATCTGGGGCTTTTCATTCTGTGACCTTGGCAGGGACTATATGGTAGTTAAGTCTGGTGTGGGGAGCGGTCTCGGTTTGACAAGGTCCCGAGGAGACAGTCTTTCACAAGGTGGGCTGTCACACGCTCTATCCCACTAAAGTTCAAGTTACTGATTTAGCTTGCTAAATGCCAAATAAGCAGGAAAATTGTGCTGCAGCAATATAGCTTGTGAGAATAAGGAAGTAGTCTAGCTGAGCTTAGATCATCAAAGTCGGTCTCAGCCGCCGACTAAGACGAAGGATTGGAAAAAAGGAAGTTGGCTGAGACTGTTAAAGGAGATGCTTGCGCTGATTAAATCGAAAGTTGCTTAAGTTCTGCTAAAAGCATATGTAACCAGTGAATGTATAAAAAGACTGTGTGAAATAAACTCGGGGCTGCAGTCTTGAGCTGTCAGTCCTCCCGATCCCATCTTTGCGTCTGTCTCTTTTCTTAATCCTCACCCCCTTTCAGGTACTGTTCGACTGTAGTGCCGGCGGGCTCCGGCAGTCTGGGATTAAGCCTGCACACTTATGCTTTATGAATTAATATGGCCATGTAAAATATGCTTTGTATATGGAAATCATCTTCCTCAATTTGATGCTTTTACATAACGGAAGGTCTCTCTACCCACACGCAACAGCTGTGGAGTCAAGTTGCACAATGAATTTGACAAAATAATTATAGTATTATATAGAATAAATTTGCTTAAGCAGTAGATTGTAGATTCTCTTTTTAGCAGACATGTTAGGATGTTTCACCCCTCACATAGTTAAGTTAATGCACAAATATTGATCAAGACAAGAAATGGTAAGATCTGAAACTTCTGTGTTTAGGCTTAATTTTCATCTGTATACATTGGAGTAATGTTTCTGCTCTGGGTTGTTTGGGTTAAATAACATAAATAATTTAATAGTCTGGTATATAATAAGTGTTTACCAAAGTTTTATTTTCCCCAATTCTCTTGATTCTTAAGAGAAGGCATTCTTGTGAGCTTCCAGAGTAAGTTTGAGCAGAAATCAGACAGGTTATTCTTCACCTTTTTCCCCATAACTAAGAATCAAATAACAGTCATTGTCCTGAGCACACTTTGGTGTGTGTTTCCAGTGTTCCTAATTTTAAGGCTTATTTTCCTATCATTCATTATTTAAGTTTTACCGTATTAATTACACTCTGAACAAATTGAGAGATTTTTTAAAAAATTAATCCTCACCTGAGGATATTTTCCCATTGATTTTTAGAGAGAGAAACATCGATGTGAGAGAGACACATTGATTGGTTGCCTCCCGCCTGCGCCCAGACCATGGCCGGGGATCAAGCCTGCAACCTAGGTATGTGCCCTTGATTGGAATTGAACCCGGGACCATTCAGTTCATGGGCGGATGCTCTATCCACTTAGCAAAACCGGCGAGGGCGAGAGATTTTATTTTGGACAAGTCACTTAACGTCTCCACTGGAGAGACTTCATTCACATTTGCGCTGCTCGTGAATCACCAGTGTAGACATTCCCAGCATGTAAATGTGCTGTTGAGCGGCTTGTTATACTTTAGTTTCAGCAGTGGTTTTACTGAGTTTATAGTGATTAAGAGTACAGACTGCTTGTGTGACAGTCTTGGCTCAATTTTCTACCTTGAGCAAGTTTTTAAATCTTACTGGGCCTCATTTTCTGATTTATATAATACAGATCTGCCTTATAGGGTAGTGAGGATTCAATTAGTAGACTCAAAGGCTCAGGATACTTCCTAGCATGGAATACTAAAAACTGTTAACTATTGTTATTGTTTTTCTTAAAATGATGTTTTATATAATGTAGATTCTGAACTTCAGTCATTTTGTTGTGCCTTCCCATGGATAATGTACTGCCTTCAGTGAATAAAATAGTTTTTAAAATAGCTGTGGCCGAAACCGGTTTGGCTCAGTGGATGGAGCGTCGGCCTGCGGACTGAAGGGTCCCAGGTTCGATTCCGGTCAAGGGCATGTACCTGGGTTGCGGGCACATCCCCGGTGGGGGATGTGCAGGAGGCAGCTGATCGATGTTTCTCTCTCATCGATGTTTCTAACTCTCTATCCCTCTCCCTTCCTCTCTGTAAAAACTCAATAAAATATATTTAAAAAAAAAAATAAATAAAATAGCTGTGATTAAAACAGTATATTTCTCTTAAAGTACACAAAGTATTCACACCCTCAGCCAACCTAAGAAGCTTCCTTTGCAGATCTTTCTCTTTGCTCATTAAATTCACTCAGGTCACTTCCTGCTGTCAACATCCTAGATCAGATCTTTAATGCTGTTAGATGACTGCTAGCACAGTTTCACTCTTCTTCCTGTTCAAATATACTCTACATTCTGATGGCAGATTTTTTATGAAAGTGAAGATTACATTACTATCTGCTCAAAGCCTTCAGTGACTTTTCATTGATTAAAGTAAAAACAAATTTAGGTGTTTTGTATTCAGGAGCCTGTATGTAGCCTTATGCTTATGTACCAAACTGCACTCCTCACTAAACCCAGTTGTGTTTTCCTTTGCCTTGCCCTCCACACTTCCCTCAGCCAGGATACGCTTTCTCTACCATCAACATCCATTTGGAAGGCTCATCTCCAGCACTGTGTTTTCTGAGAAGCCTACTCCAAGCCTCCTACCTGGGGGTGATCACTCCCCCTTCTTACCCAACTTTTCAACCCTTCCAACTTTTCAAGCTGTGAGACTAGTTTTTATACACTGCTTTATGGTTATGCTCTGTAGACTGAATTCTTTCATATGTTTCATGTATAGTGTGGTTACCTATTTGAAAAACAGACTTGCTCGAGTTTCTTCCATTACTGTTTTCTTATTCTTATTTACAGTCATTTTATTTTAATTTCTTCTGTTGCCTAAGCCTTTTATTATTTTCACTGGGATAACAAAAATACAAGAGAAATGTTCCCAAGTCAGTCTACCAAAATGGCATTCCAGAAAAAGAGTATTTCCTCCTGTGTTCTCCCTGTTGAAACTCTTTCTCTGGCTAATTGGTAATTTGAAGTTCTGAGTCATTCTCATTAAGAGAGGTTATTTTCAAATAGTAACATAATTGACAAAGCTCTTTGTTATTGATGCCTTTCTGGTATTGGTGATTATTAAAAAATAAAAATGAAACTTTTCTATATTATTTCATATTATTTTTAACAAAAATATATTTGTGCGTTAAATGTTTTGGTAGAGTTTAACATCTTGATCCTTTTTATAGCCTTATAGACAGCTTTTTGTTGGACTCAGCTCCTCTCAATGTAACTATGTCCCCTACCGGAGACTTTCTGGCCACTTCCCACGTGGACCACCTTGGAATTTATCTATGGTGAGTTCATTCATATAGTTCTGTTTGGGGTAAGGAGGAGAAGGAAGATGATATTGTCAGACAACCATAGTTGCTAACTAACCTTTTTTTTTTCTAATTTATAAAATGGAAATGTCACATTGTTGACAGGGTTAATTTACCATAAGTTTATGGCTGATTCAACATCTGCTTGATAATTTAGATACCTTTGTTCAACCACACAATTGATTTTTATCTGTTATCTTATTTAGCTTTTATTTTGCAAAAAGGATATGTGAATTTTAAAATGTTAGAAAAATGGGAGTCCCTAGCCAGGTTCTGGCCCTCCTGCTACTACCCCAATACTGCTTTATAACCTTAGTGAGTCACCTGTCAACTTCAGACTACTTTATCTATAAGGCATTGTTTGGGAAGGATGCTTGCTAAGATCATTCTAGTTACATAACTCTTCACACCCAACTCCATTGTGACGAACATGTAAGAGGTCAAGGTAGATGGTCCATCATCTGGGCCGAGAAAAAGTGCTGGGTATTTCCTAGGGTCAGATGTCTATGTCTTTTAACTGTTATTAATTATTGAGGAAGAGAAAAAAAAGTACCTTTTTTTTCTAATTATAAAATTTTCTAATTAAATTTTTATGACACACAAAAAAATTCAGTATGCAATTGAAATACACTCTGGCCACCTTAATAAGCAAAATGGAGTATCTCCTGGAATCTGTGAGACTTGAATAATCAAGATAAGAGAAGAATAGTAGCTGTGGGACCTTAGCAGCTATGTAGTACCACTATTCATATAGCTCAGAACCTGATTTCCCCAACTTTTATTTTTCATTCTAAATTCATAATGTATGGAAAACAGAATCTGATTAACTCACTTTGGGATAGGAAGCTACATCTTGATTAGTCATCCAAGGTCATGTGTAGGGTCAAGGTAGCAGAAACATGGCCACTTAGAGGGCCATTCTAGGGAAGGAGAAATCCATGACTGTTTACAGTCTCAAGGATCTGATTATCTTATTCTGTGTCTGACTTAACTCTCTGAGTCTGTCCTTCCTTCAGTTAGGTATTATGTTCTTAACTGAAGGTTGACAATTGTCAAAACAATATAAAGACAAGGAGATTATGTTACTTTATAAAAGTACTCCCTAGTACTGATCTCTCAAATACTTTTGTGTACTACATTAGTAATGTTTATGCACAGCTTTCTTGTGGTAACATCTATGACATGAATCAAGGCATTTTCAAATTAATACTATTTTATTTATTTTTGAGGTTGTTTTTAAGTTGTACGTGATTGGAATCTGTATCCAAATTCAAGATTGTAGAGTAATTGAAGTTTTTCTGTTTGTTTTTTTAGACCAGTAATTGAAGTTTTTCCCAAAAAACCTGTATTTTTAAGTTTTAAAATATGGCTTGTGTTTTTATTTCTCAGGTCCAATATTTCCCTGTATTCAGTTGTTTCATTACGGCCACTTCCCACAGATTATGTTCCTTCAGTAGTGATGCTTCCTGGAACTTGTCAAACCGAAGGTAATCAGAAAATAGTAATTTTTTGAAGTGTAATATCATAAACCAAACATGGGCGTATTGCTATTGAAGGCAGAGTTTAATGGATTCAATCGAAGTATTTAACTGATATGAAATATTTTGAATGACTTCATAAATTTTTTACAAAAATGTGATTGATAAGATTATCAATTGGTAATCTGTTGGTATTAGGGAGAAGTGTTTTAGGTCTTGTGATGGGAGTTATAGTTAATATGAGAAGATGAGGAAATTAAGAGTTTACAAATCTACATTGAGTAAATGTGTTATGAAATACTAATGGATTTGGTCTGAATTAAATTTCTTTTACATGATAAAAATATTGTGTGTTAATTTTTTTTTACCCCCAAATTTTTGTTTTCAGATGTAGAATTATCAGAAGAAACCATAGAGCCAAGTGATGAAATGATAGAGTATGATTCCCCAGAACAGTTGAATGAGCAGTTGGTGACTCTATCCCTCCTTCCTGAATCACGGTGGAAAAACCTTCTTAATCTTGATGTTATTAAGGTACTATTATAGTACACTGAATATTCACCCCTAAAGACACATTCCAGAAGCATTTTCTTTAGTAGAAATAGCTTCCCCTACTTTGAGAGATTTAGGAGGAACAGTTAATACTTAAGAGCATGCCATTTAGTTGAATCCTATTTAATCTAGTGTGATTATCACAGAATTCTCTTTATATGTATTAATTTTGAGAGCATTCAGCAGACCTTTGGATACAGCAGAAGTACAGCCTACAACTGCAGAGCTATTATAAATTTGATGTTTTTAATCCAGCCTCTAAACTACTTTTTTGACTTCTTTTTTTTTTTAATTTCTTGATTAAGTTATTACATATGTGTCCTTATCCCCACATTACGCGCCCTCCCCCACACCCCCTAGTTTCTAAAACAAGAAAAAAATACTGCCACCACATGTGGTATCTATCACTAGTCATTTGGAAACGAAAAGACTTTCACTAGTCTTTTTAAAATTAAGCTTCAACTACCATTTATTATTCTATATGCTACTCTGCCAACTATAAGAAGATGTTTAGAGCTTGCAGTGTTGGATCCAGGCATGTAAGTTAAAAAGAACTAGGTACTAGGTAATGTCCCGTGACAGTGCCAATGAAAAAAACCTGGTCCCTTTGTATTTGAGGAAATTATAATTTTACATGAAAAATAGATAATATATTAGTGTTTTTCAAAGCATGTTTCATGATCCTCATTTGTGAGTAGTGAAAACAATTGAGAGGACTAGACTAGAGTAGAAAATTTTAGAGGCCATCCTGTGATAATGCTAAGCATTGATTATTGAAGCTTGGTTTGGTTAGATAAACACATACATTCACTAGAGGTCATATGCATGCTAAGTTATATTGTGGGCTGGCCATAAAAAAAGTGTAAGGACATCGATAACTATGACAAAGTAGTAAGTTTTTTTGTAACCAATAACTTAGTACCCAAACGAATATGAGTGTCTTGGGTAAGGAAAGTTTTCACATGTTAATTTCCTCAAAGCTGTTGCCCAATCTGTCAGCTAAAGGTAGTGCTCCAAGGACTAGCTTTAAAAACGACGCATGAAAAAGTATAAGTAGTAAATGAGTGTGAAGGGAGCAATCAGAGTAATGCCCAATTAATGAGCTAAGTTTTTGGACTACTCTGTTCCTTGCTAAGACATAGTTTGTTCTGCGTAAAAACTTAAATATAAACCTGAGTGAATGATTTTATGAGAGAAGTGCTCACTTCCAATATTTTTACATCCTACTGAATGAAAAAAGTTAGAATTTTATATTTGTTTTGTGGCAGTTTTTCTACTTTTGGTTTTCCGTAGGAGATAGATAATCTCCAGAGCGCTGTGGAACTCCTCCAAAAGCCTTTTATTTTTATTTACAGTTCAGGGACTGTCTCCCTTATCACTCTGTAACAGAGAGTTAGAAGTGAAACTGTGACTCTTACTCCTCTACCATCTCAAAGAAGGGCTGTGCTTACCCTGTAATTTAGCAGCACTTTATCCTGTTTTCAAGTAGTAGCTTTTTTTTATTCCATTCCTCCTTAAAGCCACCAATATCCCTAGCTTTCTTTCAAAAAGCAAATCTCCCTAAGGTTGCAGAGCTCCTGGAATGGAAGAGAAATAGTGGGAGGTAAAATTGTGAGACCCCTTTATCAGGCAGTTTACCATACAAAGGCTCTTCATCAAATGTTCTTGAGATAGTGATGTGTAGCGTGTAGTCATCAAAACTAAATTCTGTCGGTGGGAAATCTGATAGTGGTTTTCCTGATTGAATTTTACTAACACTTGAAACATTTTATAAACAGGCAATAGTATTCTCTTGCTTCTTAAAAACACAGATTACTAAGGAAAAATAAAAATTTTAACAAAGTAGAAGAATTAGGGATACGTTTCACAAAAAATATTACACCTAATTACTTCTAAAGGCTCTGGGCTCGGGGAAAATATTGAGCATTTGTAAATTTTGCTTTCTAGCCCATTTTGATAAAAAGTTTGTATTTTAATATTAAAGAATTTCAAAAGTGATTATTATTTCTTCACCTAAATATTCATGTTTCAGGAAAATGAGGTTTGTTTGTCCTGGGGCTTCTCCTGAACCCCGTCATTTCCCTTCTGCCTTATTCGCAGGGGTTCTGGAGGTTTGCATTGGGAAACCCATTTTAAAGATATCTGTGATATTGATTGATGGGATTTTATTTTAACATTCTAATCTGAAAAATTTTCATTCCTTTTTGTTACTTTTTGGACTTTTTAAAAAAATTTATTGAGAATTAAATATTAGTAACTGCTAGCCAGATGATTACTTGCTCATCTTTTTATTTTTTTCTCTTAATCAGAAAAAGAATAAACCAAAGGAACCTCCCAAAGTACCCAAGTCAGTACCATTTTTTATACCAACAGTTCCTGGCCTTGTACCCAGATATGCTGCGCCCGAACAAAATAATGATCCACAGCAGGTAAAAATCAAATTGGAGCATTCTAAGTATGTGGGGGGTGTGTTCTGTATTATACAGTTGTAGTGTGTGTGTTTTTTACCAACACCCAGTTTTATGCATATAGAGTAAATTAATGGTAGCTTTTAATTATAGACTATACATATTTTTCCTTACAATTGTGTTCTTTGAATAATGTGTATTTATTTTTTTAAGTCTAAAGTGGTAAATCTTGGAATTTTGGCTCAAAAATCAGATTTCTTCTTGAAACTTGAAGAAGGACTCGTGAATAATAAATGTAAGTTAATTATAAAAAATTATAAAATATTTACCAAGTATTTTTAGCTTATTTTACTTTCTATGAAAAGAAATTGAGTGAACTATTAGCAGGTTTCTCAGTAGCTAAAAGAAGATAGTAAGAACTAAAAGGGTTGAAACTTGGGTTTTACTCTGAAGTAACTTTAGCTTTTCTACTGTTATATTAAACTAGAGGCCCAATGCATGAAATTCATGCAAGAAAAGGCCTTCCTTCCCCCAGCTGCCGGCACTGGTTTCCCTCACACCCAGGACCCAGGCTAGCTTCCCTCCAGCCCTGGTTTCATCCAGAAGGACGTCTAGCCTAATTAGCATAATACCCTTTTATTATTATAGTTGAGTGACACTAAACTAAGATGATATTGATATTAGAATAGTCTTGAAAATATTCACACTTTTTACATGGAAAATTAGATTTTTTTCTAATGCTTTTGTTTTTATTTACAAAAACAGTTTGCCATACAGTTTGGGAATATAACAGAGACTTTTGTCTTCAATGATTTTAGATATTCCCAAATTATCTCATCAAAAGATAATTTTAAAATTTATTGAGTTTGTTAATAGTAGATCTATCTTTTTGAAAGCTATAGTCTGTAGCTAGTAATGATAAACAATAAGAGCTGTAAGGAATTACAAAATCACAATCACTCTCTTATTTGATTTATCCTCCTGTTGTCTGTTCCAAATGCTTTTGTTTTTGTACCAAAATTACTCGAGTCCACATTTGCAAAGTCAAAGAATGGTACTGATGACTGAAGAACAGCAAGCTCATAAAAGGAGTTTTACTTTGGGGGTGGGAGACAAAGAAGGGAAGCACTAGTGTAGTTTTGTATTTTTAGTAATTTTTATTATATTGCTCTCATTATTTGTACTGGTTTTATTTAATTTGGTTTATTCTACTACTTAACAGAAAAAAATTAATCCACAGAGAGAATTTCCTGTGCAATTTATGTATATGTTGCTTGGGGTATGAAATGGAAAAAGTAGTTTCCTAAGTAAACTGATGTAGGTAATAACTGGATTCTTTTTAAAACTTAATACAGATGATGCTGCTCTTAACCTTCTGAAAGAATTAGGTCCATCGGCAATTGAAACAGAGCTGCGGAGCTTGTCTCCTGAATGTGGTGGGTCTGTAGAAGTTATGCAGAGTTTCTTAAAAATGATCGGATTGATGTTGGACCGAAAGCGTGATTTTGAGTTAGCCCAGGCATACCTTGCATTGTTTCTAAAGGTAAGTCTAATGTAAGACAGTACTTCCCAGCTTGCCTTCCTCTGAAGCAATGTTGTCTCATTGCACTTTCTGCAGAGATGGAAATGTTCTATGCCTGTGCTGCCCAGCATGGCAGCCATTTGTCTGTCACATGTGGCTACTGAGCACTTAAATGTGGCTGATGTGACTGGAGAAGTGGAACTTTTTATTTTATGGGAATTTAATTAAATGTAAACAGTCACCTGTACCTCCTGACTACCATACTGGGCATCTGGACTACACAGCTTTGTAGTTTTTAATTTAATTTCATTATTTATTTATTTAAATTTTTTATTCAGCAGAATTTTGACTCAACTCTGAATTTTCTATGACATCTATTAACTTTTTAAAGTAGTTACATTTTGGCTGTTTTTCTGTGATCATGAAGAGAAAGTCAGGTTTATATTCATTTTTTGCATTTTTTTTCTATGCTGAGGTAAAAATACTTTTCTCTTGGTTGAAGGAGTTTCAAGTGATTTGGCAATAACAGAGTTGCTATCATGACTAATATAATGGAGGACTCATGTTAATTTCAATGGTATAATGGATTGAAGGAGGTAGATAATGCTCATTTTTCAATGATAGATATGATTTTTCATCAATATATAAAATCTTTTCACTTGATCTGATTATTTAAAATTATTTAAAAAGTAGATACTTAGTTGATAGCATGTGGGATGAAAAAAATTGAAATTCCACTAATAGTTTCTATATCCTTTCCCCCAAAAAATAAAAAGTTACTTAAATCTTTAGAAAACAAAGAGCCCATCTGCATGTATTACCAGTGGGTTACAATCGAAGGAGAAACTTAAAGAAGCACAGAAAAAGGATTTAGTGTAAGATCTATGTCCTGTTTCCGGGCCTATTTGAGGACTATTCTTAGTGGAGGGGAATGAGGACCACTTCATTTCTGCTAAGGGTGTGACATGTAAGACAGTTAAAGGAACTCAAACTAAGGAAAGTTTGATAGAGGACAGGGAAATGGGAGATGGTAACAAATCAGCAGTTAAGAAAAAAATATTCAGAATGGATGGTGTCTTCTGACATTCCTTAGTAAAAAAGTTGAGTCCAGAATAAACAAAATTTAATTTTCTTAAATATTCAACTATTTTTTTTTCTTCAGTTACACCTTAAAATGCTTCCTTCAGAGCCAAAACTTCTAGAAGAAATGACACAGTTGTCATCCCAGGTGGAAGAAAACTGGATTCATTTGCAATCACTCTTCAATCAAAGCATGTGCATTTTAAATTATATAAAAAGTGCTTTGTTACAATAAAAATAAATTTGTGACTTTTATAAACCAAAGACTTTTATATTAAATGGGTTCAGTTTAACTCATATTTTGTTTTTCAAGTTTCGTTGTAAGAGAAAATAAAAGTAGCATTACTGACTAGTCAGTCATTTTCCACTTAAAAGATAAATACTTTCTTGAAATAAAATTATACCAGCCTTTCTTTTTAAAAACTTAAAGAATCCACTCAAATAATTTATTTTCTGAGCCTCTTCACATTAGTTACTTAGGTATGACTTTTTTAAAAATTGTCATCACAAGCTCCTGTTTTTTTGAATATTTGTAGTATGTAAGAGATTCTGGATATTTCATGTAAAATGTTGCTTAATCATGTTGAAGATAAAACTGATCTATAATCCTATATAATAAAAGGCTAATATGCAAATCGACCCAAACAGCAGAACAACCGGTCGCTATGATGCGCACTGACCACCAGGGGACAGGCGCTCAATGCAGGAGATGCCCCCTGGTGGTCAGTGCACTCCCACAGGGGGAGTACCGGTTGGCCAGAAGCCGGGCTCATGGCGAGCGCAGCGTTAGTGGCGAGAGCCTCTCCCACCTCCACCATAGTGCTAAGGAGCAGCAAGCTGAGCAGTAAGGAGCAGCGAGAGGGGGGGAGGGGAGGCGGACTGCCAGAGGGATGTCTGACTGATGTTTTAGCAGGGGAGCGGGCCTAAGTCATCAGTCGGACATCCCCTGAGGGCTCCCGGAATGCCTGGGAGAGGGTGCAGGCCAGGCTGAGGGACCACCTCCCCCACCCCCAACCCCGCTCCGAGTTCACAAATTTCATGCACTGGGCCTCTGGTACAGTTATGAAAGCACCTTTATGATATGAAGTAAAAAGGTGTGTTTCCTTTCTTGGTGGCCTTTGCTGAACATGGGGATCATTGATTCTTAGAGCTGGGAGGCTGTCAGACATTAGTGCAGCCCTCTTGTAATCAGAGGAGGAATCTGCTAATGTCAGCGTGGGACCTCAGCGTCAGAGCCAGGTTTTCTAGCACTGCCATAGTGCTCTCTCCACTGTAGCCTTTCTAAATGTTCTTTTAGGAATGTGAGAGGCACTTTGACTTGGCAAATTGCTGTAGGAGACAGTTGAACAGATACCTAAGATAGATGAGGGAAATTCCAAATTCCATTGAAGATATCCTTCAAAGGTTTTTCTTCCTTACTGATGACCTCTTTATTTAGCAAGAAACTGCTGACTCAACTTTTCTCTCATCACCATTGTGAAACCAGATAGCTCTGGCAATTCCTCCTTTCTCACCATTATTTTCCTTTCATGGTTCAAAACTCTAGCAATACGTGAATTAAAAATAAGCAGTTCTTAAAAGCACAGTGCTCTAAAAACAATTTTTAGCCCTAGCTGGTTTGGCTCAGTGGATAGAGTATTGGCCTGGGGACTGAAGGGTCCTGGGTTCGATTCTGCAAGGGCACATGCCTAGTGGGGTTCATGCAGGAAGCAGCCAATCAATGGTTCTCATCATTGATGTTTCTATCCCTCTCCCTCTCTAAAATAAATAAAAATATATTTTAAAAAGTAAAGTAAAAACAATTTTTAGTTTACATACTTAAAAGTAGTGTAATTCACAAAATTCACCTGGTTGTATTTGAATGCCAATTATCATCATTCTCATTAGGGTAAGAAGGTTTTACAGAATAATCTCCAGAAGGAACAGTCCTCACAAGGAGTTGTCAGTGATAACTTACATCAGGCATGTAGTTTAATTGTATAAGGTAGAATTAGTAAACTGCTAAAGAAATAAGCCAATCTAGTTTTATGTTCTTGTTATTCTTTTAGAAGTGTGTATAAACTTAAAGCCACTGATCAAAATATTAATAATGACTTAAGTTCTAACTTTAGAAACTGTATTTCCCTCTGGTCCAATACTATATTCTAAAATTGTGGCAAAATTCCAAAATATAAGCATGTACCATGTGAAAATTATAAATGACTGAAACAAGAGGTCTAAACTGAAATTGTATTGCTTTTATAATACTTGAACTGAATTTTTTTTCTCTTCAAATGAGAATACAGAAGTTGGGTGTTTTTATTTGAGGTATTGTTTTATTTAGACAGCATTACATCCTCATTTTTAGGTACTCTAGAATCTTTCCTGTGTGTTTGTCATCAGGGGAGGGAGAAAGAAGGAAATACAAAGTATAATTTGTGTGTATATTTTTTTCTGAAAATGCATGTCTTTGCATATTGCTTTTCAAAATTTAAATTACAAATGTATTATATGGCATTTTACTTGTAAAAACATCAGAGACAGTTCTATATTTTTACATTGACCTTCAATCTCAATACTCTTCCTAGAAGTAACACTTGTTGACTTTCCATCTATACCTTTTTCTATGAATGTATATAGATATTATATATAGCCACATGAAACAAAATGTGTGTAATTCTTGTTTTTTACATAAATATATATATATCATTCAGCAACTTTTCTACTTGGTATCTTTTATTTCATTACAATCATACCTCTTTTGTATAGTAGTCCACAATCTATATAGCCTATAATGGAAACTTAGGTTAGATTTCTTTTCCTTTTTTTCTAATAACTAACAGTGCTGAAAGAATGTCATCCTGTATTATTCTCTCTGCATATAAGATTTGTCTGGGTACATATACACAATGAAATACTACTCAGCCATAACAAAAAAGGAATCTTACCTTTTATGACAGCATGGATCAACCTAGAGTATTATCCTAAGTGAAATAAGTCAGAGGAAGACAAAAACCATATGATTTTACTTATATGTGGAATCTACAGAACAAACTAAAATAGAAACAGACTCATACAGAGAACAGTTGACAGAGGGGAAGGGGCTTGGGGGTCTCAATGAAAAAGGTGAAGTGCTTAAGTAGAAATAGATAGTTATAGAAATGTAAATTACAGCATAGAGATTATAGTTAATATGATAACTATTTGTGTGGGGCTAGATGGGTACTTGAAGTAGGAGGACCACTTTGTACACAATTGTTTAATCCCTGCTGTACACATGAAACTAATACAAAAAAATATTGAACATAAACTGTAATCTATAATAATAAAAGCATAATATGCTAATTAGACTGGACATCCTTCCAGACAAAGCCGGGCTATGAGGGAAGCCCAGGTCCTGGGTGCCAGAGGGAAACCGGTGCTGGCAGTCGGGGGAAGGAAGGCCTACTCTTGCATGAATTTCATGCATCAGGCCTCTAGTCAAAAAATAAAAAGTTAAAAGATTTCTCTGTAGTATATGCTTAGCTTTTGAATGGGTGGGCCAGAGCTAGGCAGTTTTAATCTGAGAGATACTTCAGTTGGCTTCTAAAATGACTATTAACATTTTATAGTTTCTCCTCAGCAATAATGAGTACCTGCTCCCCATATCATTAAGGATATTAAATTTTTAAATATTTTATTAATCTAAAGGGTGAAAACTTATTTTTATTGTTTTAATGTAAAAATTTCTGATGGAGTGAGAATGGGTATCTTTACTATGTTTATTGTAGAGCATTCTATTTCTCATGTGAATTATCTTTTATACTGCTGATTTTTCTATTGAATGATTTGTCTTTTCATCTCATGGGTTTGTTAGGAGTTTTTCACATAGTTTAGATATTCTTTGACGTCTGTTAGTGTTAGTCTCGGTTACTTGTCTTTAACTTACGGTATCTTTTTTGTAGATGTTTTATATTTATATATAGTCAAATTGATAAATCTTACGGCATTTCAAAATATAAAGCATATTCTGTATTTTCTAAGACATCTATTATTTTTGCATCTAGATCTTCATCTGGAATTGAATTTTGTAAAGAGTGTAAGATACAGAGCTACTTTTATTCAAAAGTCCAAAATCTATTTTCCAAAGTCCATTCTTTCTTTACTCACTGATTTGAAATCAGTTTTATTATGTGCTAAATTCTTTAATTGATATCTCTAATAAATAATGTATTGCTTTTATTATAGTTTTCTGGTATGTTTACAGATTTGGTGGGGGAGAAAACCTAGTGATTTTCAAAAATTTCTTGGCTATTGGTGAGCATATCTTGAAGTTTTGCTTTTGGTGCACTAAAATTATAGGCAGAATTTTCGATGTATTCTTAGAAAATCTAAGAGAATCCCACCTTCTGAAATTGTAAGACTTCATTTCCTATTCAGTATTGGTATTTCATTTAATTGTTTTGTTAGAATTGCTTCAGTTATGATCTGGCATATGATGTTGAATAATAGCAGTGCTTAGCAGAAATTTTTGACTAATTTCAGTGGAAATGCTTTTCATGTTCCACCATTAAGGATAATGTATGCTCTAAATTTCTGGTAGGTACCTTTTGTTAAGTTCTATTGTATTAGTAATTTGGTACTTTTTAAACTAGAGGTAAATATAGAATTTATCAAGAGATTTTTTAGCCATAGCTGGTTTGGCTCAGTGGATAGAGCATCAAATGCTTATGGTTTTGATTCTAGTTGCAGGCTCAATTCCTAGCCCCAGTAGGGGCTCATGTGGGAGGCAACCAATCAATGTGTCTCTCACATCGATATTTCTCTCTCTGTCTCTCCCCCTCCCTTCCACTCTCAAAATCAATGGAAAAATATCCTCGGGTGAGGATTAACAACAAAAATTTTTCAGCATATATCAAAAGATCAGTGTTTTCATTCAGTGAACTTTAGTCAAAGATTTCTATTACTGATTCATATTTTCATTCCTAGGATAGAATTGTTTGTAGGTAAGGTGAAACTGGTGCATTTGTCTGTTTCCTGTCGATAAATTTTTACCTATATATTTAAATTTGTCTCATCAAATGGTGAAAAAAGTCTTGCATAAAGTCTTTATTATATGGTGATTTTTGTCTATTGAACTTTTTCTATGGTTACTAAACTAATTGGGTTTTCTGTCTCAAAAATTTATATTTTTCTTACAAATCATTTAGATTAAATTATTATGTTTATGCCTTTTTATTAATCATGCAGTTGCAAATAACAGAAGCTCAACTCAAATACATCAGTGTCTGCAAAGTCCAGGTATAAAAATTGACTTTACCTACTGCTAGATCTAGGGG